CTATTATTATTGTTGTTATTACTATTATTGTTATTACTATTGTTAATGATATTACTGTTATTATTATTATTATCATTGACATCATTATCATTATTGTTTCTGGTAAATACAAGGAAGCTAGTTTTAATTACTTTATAGAAGCAGTTGTTGTACACCTCATATCTTCCGACGTCATCTATCCAATGTAATGTTTTAAATTAACTTTATGGTCGTGTCTCGGCGTTACTAATTTGTAATAAACGTGTTCGAAGTTGATCTTACAGAATGTTTCTTGGTGTTTTTAAAATGCTTTTGTTTTAGGAAATCTAATGAGCGTATGAACAACGAACTGGATCGGTTTCATGATTTAAAGAAGATTGGGGAAGGTACATATGGTGTGGTTTATAGAGCATTTGAAAGGAAAGCTGGGATAGAAGTTGCACTCAAAAAAATTCGTCTTGATTCGTACGCTTTTACTTTATTGTATTTTTTACAATTGATACCGACCTTTCAGTATTCAAGTTTTTTCTAATTCCAGTGATAGTGAAGGCGTTCCTAGCACCTGTATAAGAGAAATTTCTATACTGAAGGAGTTAGATCACCCAAATATTGTCAAGCTGCGTGATGTAATTCATGCAGGTTTTTTATTTTTATTGTTATTATTGTTGATACTGCTTTAATTAAATTATTTTTGAACTTGCGCGTTTAAAGTTCCTTTGATTTGTCTTGTTGCTGAATAATGGGACTTCAGATTATTATCCTGTTTAAGGTTCACGTCTGTTTCTCGTATTTGAATATATAGATCAGGATTTGAAAATTTTGATGGAAAAGATAAAACCGAAGCCAATTCCACTACCGTATGTTAAGGTAATATCATTATTAGATACTACAAATTTTCTTCAGTTTTCTTGTGTAAAATGTTTTCTAAAATTTTGTTCTTGTAACGCTGTTTTTCATTCTATATGCTGTAGTTTTTGCTTTTGCAGTTCCCTCTTCATAAATAATAAAATTACCCAACTGCCAGTTTCTAGAGTAACTGCTACATTTCAGATTTATTACTAGATTTTTTTTATCCTGCAACAACCACATTGTTTATTATTTGTAGTCGTTTCTTTGGCAGTTACTTCAAGCACTTTCATACTGTCATACCCATCGAGTCGTGCATCGTGATCTGAAACCTCAAAACTTACTCGTTAGTAACGAAGGGATGATTAAACTAGCAGATTTTGGTTTAGCAAGGGCTTTTTCAATGCCAACTAGAGTGTATACCCATGAAGTACGATACCGTTTCAGTGTACATTTTTTTTCTTATTCTAACAACTGATGAGTAACACTGTAGTTAGAATTTAAAAGCTAAATTAATGTTTAACTTTCACTGTGAATTTCCTCCATTACTGTAGCAAAATAGTGTGATCATAAAATAAAATTGGCTTTGGTTGATTCAAAATGTTTTTTTTGGAACTGTCACTGCGAGTTTATTTAAAAAACAATTACAAAGAAACGTCTAACTAGTTTTATGTGGGATTTTTCGCTTTTTCTCTTAGTTTTATTTTTGGCACAAACTTATATACTGTTTTTACAGAATGCAATTATGCTCCTCATTGTTTTATCGTCAGATTTCAGAGATTCTAGGCTTTTATCAAGCCACCGAAATCTCAAGTTTTTTGGTGGGATTTTTACTATGGCGATTGAGTTATTGAACTTTCTTACGTTTAGGTGGTAACTTTATGGTATCGTGCTCCGGAAGTTCTTTTAGGCTCAAAGTTTTACTCCTGCGCTGTTGATGTCTGGAGTTTAGCTTGCATTTTTGCTGAACTTGTTTCTGCAAGAGTTCTTTTTAATGGCGACTCCGAAATAGACCAGTTGTTTAAAATATTTCAAGTCTTAGGCACACCAACTCCCGAGGTTTCAGTTCCCTTTTTTTATTGAACAATAGTAGGGATATCACTTTTTCTTAGTATTATCTTTTTGTTTCTGTATGTTTTAGCTTGTGTGTTTCATTCATCTACTTTAAAAATCCAAAATTTTGCTTGGTTTTTTCTTTGCATTTGGTTAAGGTGTTGACAATTTTATTAAAATTTTATTGACTATTTATACGTTTGAGAGTATGATGAATATAGATGAACTAGTGTTGTTTAAGTGAAGTTTACTTTGTAGGTCTGGCCGGGAGTCGAGAAATTACCTGACTATAATTCGTTATTTCCAGTTTGGAAGGATTTTAAACTGGACCGCTGTGTACCTGGGATTGGGGAAGATGGGCTTGATTTGCTTGTTGTAAGCAATAGATACATTGTTGATTGTAGTGGAAGTTCATTATCCTGACCAGTTACTCATTTTCAGCAAATGTTGCAATATCCGCCACATAAGCGTGTGAGTACAAAAATGGCCTTATGTCATCGCTATTTGCGAGATGTTCAACTTGATTTGGAACCACTAACAAGCTTGTTACGGGATTATTGAAAGCGTAGCCAATAGGAGACCTGACTTTCTGACGGTTATCTGCAGTCTTTCATTAATTTTTATTTTTTGTGTATTTATTTCTTCTGTAAAGTAGCAGGAATATAGACTCTTCTCATACTTACTGTGTTCCTCTGATTTTAAAAGATCAGAGAGTTTATTAGTTGTAACTTTTTTGAAACGAGAGTTTCTAAAAAAAAAGTGGAAAGAGCTCCCAAGCGAAGCCAGATTACGCAGCAGTGCGGGAACAACAGTTACCGCTTACACTTAAGTTTACAAACTAAAAAGGTAGACGCTGAACAATCGAAAAAAAAAAACAGTTTTTGATGGGGAAACGCAACAGTAAAACAAGAAAAGAAGCCTCAAAAAGTTGAAACGTTTTGGATTAACGTAGAATACTACGGATATGCGAGCGATTCAGCTGTCAAGTGTTTAGAATTTTGAATGGAGTTTCGAGAGATGTAACAAAAAGTTAGACAACTGTCCTGCACAAAGATCCTTGAATGTTGAGTGAGGGCATGTTTGCTGTCGTTGCAGTATTTCCGGTAGCTGACAGCTGATAATCTTAAAAAACAATCAGTGTAGCAGCAACTTTTCGAGAGTTATCAACAAGCGAGAACTGTGTGACACATTTAGGGCACATAGTCGTAACGGATGATGAAATGGGAGATTGTGTGGGAGGAGAACAGTTCATAGCATGAGATTTCAATTTTTCTGTCGCAGGGACGAAAACAATAGGTGCTTTAGTGTTAAATTGGTCATTCAGGGTTAGTTTCATGGTGTTGGGCTTCCGGTGGGTCTGCGCACTTTTTCAATAAATTCTAGTATGTTATTTCTGTAAAGTGAAGAGGATGGCATCATGGAGCACAGTGATTTGAATTGGAGAAAGGGCCAGAGCAATGGGACCTTATTTTTTTGATTTTTATTTGGTGAAAGCATAAGATTCCTTGCTGTGGTGTTTTGAATGTAGTACACAGTGGTTGTTGATAAGTAAGTCTTAAAAAATTGTTACTATGTTTACTTCGTTGTTTTAAAAGCTACTATTTTTTGGGAACTAAACATGCGTGTTCAATCACAACAGCCATTTCTTTTTCTTCTTCAAACCTCTTACAGAAATGCCGCATCAGGTTTACCTATTTTTTCATCCAAATTTTTTGACTTTGTGGTAGTGTTTGTGAGCGTTTGTAACGGTCATATTAACCCGAAACACTTCAACTTTTTAATGAAACTTTGTCTTTATTCTGGTGTTACAACTTTTCATTAAATATTGAATATTTTTTGCTTCTAGTTTATTTATTCTATCTGCATTTTTTTTTTTTTTTTTGGTGTTAACAGTGGTTACTTCTCCCATGCTGTTGCACATTCAAATTTTATGTTGCGCTTATTCTATTCTTTTATTATTCTTGAAGAGTTTTGTTTCAAGAAGGTTGTAACAGATGAAGCTTTTCATAGTTTTTCGCATTTGTGTAATAGGAAGTAGTGAAAACGTGTCGACACAGCTAATTCGGTTCAAAAGTAAGTTAGTGCTAATCTCTATCATTTTGTAAAAATAGTTTATTTTGAGACTGTGAAAAATCTTTTCAGTATTGTTATGTTGTTACTTGTACAAAATTAAACGCTGCTTTAAAGCTTTTTCGTAGGAGTATTCAAACTTTCTTTTCAACAAACTGTTACATTTTTATACATTTGTTTTTTTTTTTAACTTTCGCAGTTCAAAGGTGTGTTTGTATATCTGTCTACTTCGTACAGTTTTAGCAATTAAGGTAAGTGGAAGCACTTACTTTGCACCTCTGCCTTATAAACTGTGCGATATTCGCTGACTACCGCTAAACATTTCACTCTTGACATTTAAGACGGCTTTAAACAACTTCATTTGGTGAAGGTAATAAAGAGAAAGCTTCGGGGACGAGATTTTTAAAAATAGCTTTTTTAACACCGTTCTGGAAACGGCATTCAATTCCAGATCCTTTTTTGACAAAACAAACAGGTTTAGGACACAAACAAGAGAAGTACGATTTTTTAGTGAACAGTGGTGAAAATTGAGAAGCAAAATGAATCGCATTTTCAGTTCCCGAGTTGCACAGCGACGCTGTTGACCATTTGGCTGTCACTTTGTGATCGGAACGGTATTGATGTTTTCAAAAGTGGCTCGGTGTTTCTGTTTCCAGTTAAGTCATCTTTTTGTCTTGCTTGTTATTTGAAGTCTGACGTGGTTTTGGGAAGTTTTTTTTCGAGACCTGTGCGAAGAAGGAGTCTTTTTTTTCACCGAATAATAAAGCAGTTTAAGGTTACAAAGGAAAGAAATTCAAGGATTCAGTAAGAAGGCGAAATCACATCTTTGGTTTATTTTGCAGCACCATTGCCATCTTCCATTGACTTTCAACTAGTGTTGCTAGTTGTTCAATAAAGCTCGACGTTTTGTCTCGTTTTTTTTTTT